CTGGATGTGGGCACCACTGGCCAGTTGCTGCTGGTTGCAGCAATTCCACTGGGTGCCACTGGCCAGTTGCTGTTGGAGAAGCTCCACATGGTGCTGCTCCAGGGAGAATTTCCATGTGGTGCTTCTCCAGGGCCTCCAGCCAGGCTCAGTGCACCTGCTGCACCCAGTCCCATGCCTCCTTCTGGGCAATATCTTTCTCCTGCCGGGCCAGCTCCCATGCCTGCTCCTGTGCCACCCAGCCCTCCACAACTGCCACCAGCTGCTGGAACAGGAGCATCCAGTCTTTGGTGCATTTCTGGCACAGCAAGAATGTCAGGGAGGCTCCTGTGGTGGGTGACAGAAACCCTGAGGTGACACTCCCACAGGGTTCTGCAGCCTCTCCCCCATGCCTAGATGTTGGCAAGAGACGGAAGCTTTTTGTGAGAGTTTGCAATGTTGCAGAGCTAAAATGCTTTGCATCAGAGCCCCTGCACTGCCTGGCTTCAGATCAGAGGTTGACTATAGTTGGATGCCCTGGGACCATGGTAAGTTGGCTAGGCAGGCCTGGGCCCAGGCAGCTGCTGCCTGAGCTCCCCATCCCCACTTGTTCACATGGGGCCAGCAGGCTGCTGGGTGCTGGCAGCAGGTAGCCTGCCTCCTTCCCAAGGCAGGCCAGGCCAAGCTGCTGGCAGTACCTGCTGCCATAGTTCCAGACCCTGCCCTGCCCTGCCCCCCATCCTCCCTGGAGGCCAACTTCTCTGCTGTGCTGCCACCCAGCCCACAGCACTTGAGCTCAGGGTGTGGAGGGCTCCCAGACAACTGTGGTGAGGGGCTGGCTGTGTCCTCACCCTCCTTGTAGGGGGCTTCTTTGGGTAGGCACTCAGGGGCCACCCCCCCCACTATGCTGCCACTGTACCCTGAGCATGCACCTGCTCCATGTGCTCCAGGTAGTGTACAATGAGCTGTTTGTGCAGGCAGCAGGCTGCCTGAGCTACTGTGCCCCACTGCTGCTGTTGATCCTACACTCCTAGTTCAGGACCCTAAGCTATGATGGTGCTGGGAGCAAGCCTGGGGTTCTCTGCATAGGTGACTGGTAGAGGGTGCATGGGGGTGCATTTGCCTCACCTGAAGGGGCTGGTGCCCACTGTGATGGCCGACACTGATGCTGTCGGTAGGGCTGGTGCCCTCCCAACAGTGCTGCTGCTGTTGGTGGCTTCTGCAGGTGTCCCCCCAGATTCAGGAGGCACCAGTCACTCATGGTTCCCTGCAACCTCTGCTGCCACTTGCAGGGCTACCTGTCACAGTGCTACATGACTGTGCCCCCATGGTGCTGAGGAGGACATCAGTTCCAGCATCGATTCTTTCCTCAATGTGTGAGAGACCTGTGCCCACCCAGCTGTTGGTACATAGGTTGCTCAGTAAACTTCTGAACTGTCCCGTCAGCATGCGCAATTGTCTGTGCCTGGTGTTCATGGCCTGCATTGCATGTTAGGCCAGTGCACCTGCCCCTACCTGGGAGGAGCTGGTGGCTGGAGGTGGCAAAGCTGGATGCTCCTTGTGGTGGGCTGTGAGGCTGGGCCAAAGGTGAGGCATCTGCTGGGGATGTGGATGGGGCCAGTGAGTGCAGTAGCTTGGGAGGTGGGTGGGAAAGGGGGCCCTTGGGCCTTCAGCACTTCCTCCAGTCACCGGAGGCATCAGGGCAGGGGGTGAGTGAGGCTGGGCTTCCCCTGTTGGTGGCATATGGAAAGGTGTGGTCTGTCTCTCGGGGCGCAAAAATGCAGGCCAGCTCCTGCATGAAGGGCATGGCCTTATGGGCATAAACAGACCAATGATTGAAATCAGTTATGGCCACCCACCATGCTCTCAAGGCCTTGGCCTCCATGTGGTACTGTTGTGCCATCCAGGAGTGGCCTTGCACATGCATCCTGGCTATGATCCCCATAAATTTTGGAGTTCTTGTGTCCACTCCATGTGAACTGCCTCTGGATGTCATCCCCAACCCAGAGTGCCATGAATTCACGCACCTCCTTGTGGGTCCAGTTGGGGGCCCGGGCACTCAGGATAGGCATGGGCATGTGGGTGGAGCTAGGACTGGATGGGGAGGACATTCTCCCTGTGCTGTCTCTGGTGGGGTGGGGGGGGCAGCCCTCACATGGCTATTCCTGTGATGCTGGCTCTGGAGGGATGGCAGCAGCACCGAGGACAGGGGCTCAGCTAGGGACACCACAGCACCTGCAAAGGGAGAAAGCTAGGGCTGAGGAGCAGAAGGGAACAGGTACTGGCCCTCCTGCCATAGGGAGCAGGGCTAGCAGCCCTGGGAAGAATCTCAGGGCTTGGCAAGTGACACAGCAGGTGACAGACCTTTGCAACACTCGCCTATAGCCAAGGAGCTGCTCCAGCTAGGGGACAGAATGGGTAGAGGCTACCCGAGTCCTGTGCAGGGGGGCACATGGGTGCTAGTGGGCTGCTGCAGACAGACTGGCTCCCCTAGGCTCCCTGTGCAGTGTGCCCTGAGGCACAAAATGGCTGGTGGTTCTCTCTCGCCACACAGCAGCCCAGGCATGAAGAAGAGGTAGCCAGGCAGGAGCCCTGGGGCTGGGAAGACCTAGGATTAAAGTCCCTGCATTTAATGCACATTAACATGTTTACATATCCATTAATCTATATTAACTAATCCTGCTTAAACTGGTCACTTGGTTTGGGCAGGTATCAAATTTAGGCTCACGTGGCCTCAAATTGCCACTTTTAAGCCACATTAAGGGTGAATACATGTAGACATGTGCCCCTAATGTGCATTAAATGGCCATGTGTAGACACGCCTGTAAGTACCATTACAGCATCAGAACAGATCATTTTGTTTGTGTTGGAGATGCAGTTTCCCACTGAAACTTCCCAGTGAATCTAATGAGACTACTCGTATTCAACGTTATTAAAGAGCATATATAAGTGCTATAGTTAGTTAAGTATAGGATGAGATTTTTTTTTGTCTTGCCCATCAGCATGGAGGGTGGGTACACTTGCATACAAGGAAGTCCTCATTAAATGGATTGTCTTTCATCAAATTTCTGCCAAAAGCAGTGTGTGCTTAGTAATGGAAACCAATTATGAAAAGGAATGCAGCCACCATGGAGTATGAAGTCCGAGCATGTCTATCTGGGTCCCTCTATACATGTGATTTAACCAGGTAATTCTGCATTAGATGTAACCCAGCTTACATGTTCAATCAACTAATGTGATAAAACAAGCAATAAGCTACAAAACTATTCCACAAAAAATGTGTAATAACTCTTGTAGCTTGTTCTAATCATGCTATTAATTTTAACATGTAACCAGGTGCTCCCTTCTGGCTGGGTGCCCCAGCAACTGAGGGTATCACAACCACAGGGGTGTGCAACCCACTGCCAGTCCTGCAGCTGACAAGGTTTACAGTGGTGGCAGCATTCCCAGCACTGCCCCCGCTATGAACCTTGTCATCTGCAGAGCTTGCAGCAGAGAGAACATTGCTTCCTCAACAAACCTTGTAAAGTGAGGAGCTTGCAGTGGGGGCAGTATTGTTGTCTGTGGGGCTTGCAGGGGTGGTAGCATTCTCTCTGCTGCCACCGAGGCTCAAAGTGGCAGCATTCCTGTTGCTGCCCCTGCTATGAGCTCCTCAGCCCACATTGGCTGTAGGGCCTACAGCAGGGGCACCCTGTACTGGCAATAAGTCACAGTAAAATTTAATGCACGATTACAAAATTGTGCCTCCTATTGTTCATATATAAAGGAGCCCTAAAAAACACATGTTCCATGAGCAAACATATAGGAACCTACAGCAAGGATAGGTTAGCGCAGCCCATCTGAGTAAGATGTATAAGATGTGCCCATTGTATGCAGTCCCCCTCAACACTGACTCATTTTTCTTCTTTCCAAATCATGGTGAGCCACCAGACTGAATACATTTTTACATTCTCTTTACTGTCACGCCTAAGCTGTGCCTTTCTTTCCCATTTTTTCAGAAGCCTTTAATATCTGGGGCCTCAAACAGTTTATCCAGAATCCCTCTGTCATCCGCCTCTCTGCCTGTTGTGTATGATTAGTGTGGCCTCACCCTCCATGAAGTAGAGCAGCCAGACTGAGTTGCTCTGTATTTCATCTGCATATACATTTTTGGAGGACCCTAGGACACGTGTCAAGAAGTATCTGGAGTACATATGCATACTGAGCAGAGCTGAGCTATGGGGTCACCAAGACTTGAAATGCTGTTGACTCTCCTGAGGCACAGCCCAATGTACTAAAAGGTAAATCGTAAGCCTTTTGGATTCATACTAATATCATGCATAATTTGTACTTTATAAGAATAGGTAGAAAGTGCAACTTAAAAGTGTGTTTATGGATGAACTAAATCTATTGGTACACATAGTAATTTGCCTATATGCAGATTAGTAAAGACTTGTTTTTCAAAGGCAATATCTTCAAATTTTCCCTTCATTGCCATGTGCTTAGGGAGAGCAGGGCCTGACAGTGAAGTGGGGAAGGGTGAGGGGGCTGTAGGCAGCAAACTTTGCGGGGAGGGCAAGGGGGACACCTAACCTCCCCCCAGACTTATTTTCTATCCTGTAACAGTGGGAAGATGACAAACTCTAGGCAAACCTCTGATAATTTGAGTCTATACCTATAAAAGTATCATGATTTTATACACTTTCTATATATAGGATATAGTTATTGGGGGAATTACCTTATATTCAAGTCAATACAGTACCATTTCAAACCAGATTTTGGTAAAGACATTCAGTAAGAGTGTCTCACATTTCATAAAATGCTGAGGGAGAGAGTGGGGTCCATGGGAGTGATTGGGGGGGGGGGGAGCAGTGTCTGCAGGTGGCTGGTAGGTTCTGAGAGTTTGGCAGGATCAGAGGGGCTTATGGGGTCCCTGGAAGAGCCTTGGGAGGAGACAGGGGTCACTTTTGATCTCCCCTGAGACTCCAACCCCCTACTGATGCTTCCTCAGAGTGTGACATCCAGAAACATTGATAAAACCAGCACCTACATTGGCTTGTGGCATGGGGGTTTGGGCAGAGAGGAAGGGATGGCTGTTCTTTGGAAGGTCAGGGGGGCTAAAGACAGCTCAGTGCCAGGGGGTGGGTAGGAAAAGTGCATCCCTGAAACTTGGGCCAGGGATTGGGTTTTCCCAGCCTTGGGGATGCACAGGTGATGGTATAGAAGTTCCATTCACCAGTCTACCATAGGTTAACTGTCAATTAGGGTTGAATGACCATTGATCAAGGTCTGTCTTAGACTGGGTTCCACCATTTAACAAATCGGGTGGCCATTTTTAACCTGATCTAACTTCTTCAATGTCTGCATTTAGCCCAAATTAAAGCAAGAGGAAAGTGCAAACAATCAAAAGGACAGCAACTTCACTATTCTGAAGTATCTTCAAGATGTTCTTTCTGCTACAATCAGTGCAAGAAAAAGGAACATAAGTTTTGCTCCAAGAATAATTTATATAATTGTTTACATTTCAAGTAATCCAAAATAAAGTTTTAATTGATCTCCTCTTCCCCCCCCCCTTCTTTCTTCTCTTAGGTTTCCTATTATTTCTGCCTAACAGAACAAGAAGCTATCTGTGTCAATGATGAAGTTTTATTAGAAATAATTTGTAGTAACATATCCAAGACTAGTTCAGGATTTTTTTTCACTCTTTTCTAACTTTTTGTTGTCTTTAATGGTAGAACAATCTAGTGCTACAACTCTATCGGAAGCCTTTAGTAAGACTTCCCATAATTCTTTGAGTAGTATTAAAATGTCTATATGATCTGGAGGGATGTTTTAATAAAAGAAAATTGTATTAGTGACTGTTGTACTGAGCACAAACTGGGTGACAGTTTTAAAGTTTATCCTATTGCAAGGGCTATTAGACCCAGATAGAATAATGGGGATGGTGCGTCATTCTTTGAAATATCACTTTAATCCAACAGAATTTATACAAGGCTAAGTTTTCTTTGTAAGGCAAATGAAAAGGTGGAATTGTTCAAAAGTGGAAATGATTAAGATAACAATTTTCCTAATCCTGCAGTCTTTATTCAGATAAAACTCTTATGGAAGTAACTGAACTGTTTGCATCATGTACAGTGCTGGGCAGCTTTCATAGAATAGGAGAATCAGTGACTAGCAGACTGAACAGTTGTGGTTCTAAAGAGCTTTCTTTTACAAAGTGTTATGCTTCCTTATACAAACTGCCATTACTTTTTAACTCAAGTAGACAAGTTTAGAAAGAAACTTAAAAAAAGAGGTCTGAGAGGTGGTGGTGGTGGTAGTGTTCCCCCATTCAGTTACTCAGCATAGAAATGGTTACAGAGGCTTAAAGTAGTTCAAATTTGACAAATGGGAGGAGATCTTCACTTATCACAAAACTAAGACAGGTGAGTGAGCACTGCAGACTGTGAAAAGGAAAGCCATAAAACAAATGAAATATGATGGAAAGCACACTATTTTAAATCATTATTATGAAGTACTTGGTTATCTAGCTTAAGGAAGAATATATGGAACTAACAATGACAAACACATGTTTGTGCTTGCTTCATGCCTTCTACCACTTCTCTTCTTGGGTAGTAGGGGGAGGTGCGGTGTGTGGGGGGAGGGGTGTGGAGTGGAGAGGTGTAAGGGGATTGTTTTCTTGGGTTTTTTTGTTTGTTTGCTGGTTTTTTTCAGCATTAGATTTTATTTAAAGAAACAAACAGTGCTCAAGGGAGGAGGGGAGGCAGGGGG